AGTCATCCACCAATTTGATGCCCAGGGCATCACAGGGGTCCCGACGGAGCTGGCTCCACACAGATCAAAGATGTAGGTGCTCCTTGGCCTTTGTAATCCGTGACGGCACAGGGTCCAGCCCCCACCTAACAGAGGGCATCGTGCCCAGGAGACAGCAGGACCCTCATGTCTTCCCTGCAATGTATTTATAGACTTGCCATAGTAATTTGTGGCAATCACAGCATTTAATCCTGTAATCACACTGCAAACAGGCGCCCAGCCCAGCAAGGCTGAGGAGCCTGCCAGGGCTCAGAGAGGAACTTGGCACCAGGGCAGGCAAGTGTGGAGGCAGCAATGTCCCCATCAGCCCATCTTGTCAGCTGTGGTCCTGGCTCTGTGCCCTAGATGTCCCCTGGATAATAATAATAACAATAGCAGCTAACCCACGTGACATTTCCTGTGTTCCACACCCTGTTCTAAGCCCTTTATGCCTGTGAACTCATCTCCCCTCACCACCACCCCACGGGCTAGCTGCTATATTATCCCCATATTCCAGTTGAAGAAACTGAGACAGGTCATACAACTGATAAGAGCCAGGATGTGAGCCCGGGCATTCTGGATCCAGAGACTGTGGCTTTGACCACGCACCTCCCAGCCCTAGAGCCAACCTCAGCCCTGCCCTCACTCCTGGTTCCTCTGGACTCGGAGCCTGCCCAGAGCCGCACGCAGGGCTGCACACACCATGAAGCGTGGGTGCTTCGTCTCGGGGAAGCCACACTCGGACTCTCTCCCTCCTGGCACTATTTCATGTGGTGGAAAGGGCTCTGGCAGTGGCATATCTGGGCTTTAACCTTTAAGGTGCGTGGGGCAAGTGACAGAGGTTGTTTGAGCCTTGGTTTGCTCTTCTGTAAAATGGGGCTACTAACAAGATCATTCAGACTTAGAGAGTAATTGTGGGGACTGGACAGGATGAACCATGTAACACACATAGCGCCCAGGACATAATAAGTACTTAATAAAGCTGAGCCATTGCTGTTGTTATCATCCTGTCCTGAGGGGAGGGCCTGGGTCTCTTCTAGCCAAGCCTAGGGCAAGGTCTTTTTTTTTTTTTAATCAGTCATACTTTAAGTTCTGGGGCACATGTGCAGAACATGCAGGTTTGTTACGTGGGTATACACATGCCATGATGGTTTGTTGCATTAATCACCCCGTCATCTACATTAGGTATTTCTCCTAATGTTATCCCTCCCCAATACCCCCCACCCCCTACCATCCCTCCCCTAGCCCCCCCACCCCCCAACAGGCCCCAGTGTGTGATGTTCCGCTCCCTGCATCCATGTGTTCTCATTGTTCAACTCCCACTTATGAATGAGAACATGCAGTGTTTGGTTTTCTGTTCTTGGGTCAGTTTGCTGAGAATGATGGTTTCCAGCTTCATCCATGCCCCTGCAAAGGACATGAACTCATCCTTTTTTATGGCTGCATAGTATTCCATGGTATACGTGTGCCACATTTTCTTTATCCAGTCTATCATTGATGGGCATTTGGGTTGGTTTCAAGTCTTTGCTTATTGTGAACAGTGCCACAATAAACATATGTGTGCATGTAGAATGATTTATAGTCCTTTGGGTATATACCCAGTAATGGGATTGCTGAGTCAAATAGTATTTGTATTTCTAGATCCTTGAGGAATCGCCACACTGTCTTCCATGATGGCTGAACTAATTTACATTCCCACCAACAGTGTAAAAGCATTCCTATTTCTCCACATCCTCTCCAGCATCTGTTGTCTTCTTATTTTTTAATGATAGCCATTCTAACTGGCGTGAAATGGTATCTCAGTGTGGTTTTGATTTGCATTTCTCTGATGACCAGTGATGATGAGCTTTTTCTTTCATATGTTTGTTGGCTGCATAAATATCTTCTTTTAAGAAGTGTCTGTTCATATCCTTTGCCAACTTTTTGACGGGGTTGTTTGTTTTTTTCTTGTAAATTTGTCTAGTTCTTTGTAGATTCTGGATATTAGCCCTTTGTCAGATGGGTGGATTGAAAAAATTTCTTCCCATTCTGTTGGTTGCTGGTTCACTGTAAGGATAGTTTCTTTTGCTGTGCAGAAGCTCTTTAGTTTAATTAGATCCCATTTGTCTATTTTGGCTTTTGTTGCCATTGCTTTTGATGTTTTAGTCATGAAGTCCTTGCCTATGCCTGTGTCCTGAATGGCATACGGCAAGGTCTTTGATAAGTTAGGAATTAGGCAGGGGAGCCTCGCCCGTGGGAAGAATGCTAGGAAGTGCTGGGCAGAGCCAGGCCCCAGGACAAGTTTTTCCTCCTCCTCCATCATTTCCGAAACGATTTCCTGTCTATGCGGGCAGCAGCTCCGAGCTCATAAAGCAGCTGCCCTTTGACCGTGATTGTGTCTGTGAGGACAGAATATTTCAGAAATGCCCTTCACTGCTGAGAAAAGCTGCTCATTTGCAGTTCTCTGTAGAGGTCTCCTCCCCTGTGGCCAGTCATGGTGAGGGGATGTTGGCAGGGTGCCTAGGGTTGCCCTCAAAGCCCCTGGAAGGACCCTCCCCAGATGTGACTCCTAGAGGGGAGCAGCAGGCTCTGGTGTGTGTGGGGGGGTGCGGGGTTGTGAAGAAGGCAAGGGCCAGCCTCATCTAGAACCTTTGACCTTAAGAGATGAGCCAGTTCCTCCTCACTGAAGACAAACAGGTGGTTCAGCTTGGGTGTAGGTTTTAGCCACACACAGGAGATAGTATCCATCTCATGGGGGAGGAAGGAGAGGAGCTGAAGGCAGCCTGATGGCAGGAGGGAGTCCTCAGAGTGGCAGGAAGCATTTGGGTGGGGGCTCTGGGGTGGCTGTTGGATGCCTTTGAAGTTTCTCCACGCAGGAGTCCAACCAGTGTCATGACATTCAGGAGTGCAGGTGTTAGATCAGGGGTTGACAAACATTTCTGGAAAGGGCCAGATAATAAATATTCTCAGCTTTGTGAGCTGTGAGGTGTCTGCTGCAACTACTCTGCTACTGTGGCACGAAAGCCACCTGCCATAGACAGTATGTAAATGAATGAACATGGGTGTGTTCCAATAAAACTTTATTTACAAAAACAGGCAGTGGGGCAGATTTGGTCCATGGCTGTGGCTTACTGAATTCTTTGTTAGGGAAATGAGAGCTCAGGGAGGGCTAGGAGCCAATAAGGACTTCTTGAAGGGGGAGGTGTTGATCCCAGCCTGCTCAGAGGAGCAAGGAGAGATTTCTGCCAAAGGCCAGCTTTACCCCAAAGCTCATGGGTGATGCCAAGACTGTTTCAAATGCTGACCTTACCTCTCTGGGAGTCTACCTTCCCTGGAAATTGGTCCCATAATTCAAGTCTGTATTATCTCTCTGATAACTTAAAACAGATTTTTGGTTTTTTTGAGGTGGAGTCTCACTCTTATCGCCCAGGCTGGAGTGCAGTCATGTGATCTCGGCCCACTGCAGCCTCTGCCTCCCAAGTTCAAGCAATTCTGCTGCCTCAGCCTCTCAAATAGCTGGGGTTACAGGGGCGCACCACCAAACCCGGCTAATTTTTTTTTGTATTTTTAGTAGAGACGGGGTCTCACTATGTTGGCCAGGATGGTCTTGATCCCCTGACCTCTTGATCCACCCACCCGGGCCTCCCAAAGTACTGGAATTACAGGTGTGAGACACCATGCCGGGCCAGATTTTTTTTTTAAGGATTTACCTAGCTGAATTAGGGTTCTCTGGAGAAACAGAACTGAAAGGATATACACACAGATGTATCAAAAGAGATTTATTATGAGGGACTGGCTTTTGTGATGATGGAGGCTGAGATGTTCCCTGATCTGCTGCCTGGTGGTTGGGAGGCCCAGGAAAGCCTCTGGTGTAGTTCCGGCCCGAGTCTAAGGGCCTGAGAACCAGGGGAGACAAGGGCATGAATACCAGTTCAAGTCCTAAGGCCAGAGAACCAGGAGTGCTGACTGTGAGGGCAGGAGATGGAGGTCTGGGCTTGAGAAGAGTGAGTCCTCCCTGCCTGCATTGTTTTGTTCTGTTCAGGCCCTCTGCAGACCACAGGGTACTCACCCCCACTGTGAGGGCCAGTCTCCTTCACCCACCGCTTCAAATGCCAATCTCTTGTGAAATACGTCACCGATAGACCCAGATAACATGTTTTACCAGCTACCTGGGCATCTCTGAGCTCAGTCAAAAGTTGGTGCATAAAATGTGCCTTCACACCAGCTCTTCCAGTTGTCCTCAGCGGGAGGCTTGGCTCAAATCACCGTCCATAACTGGAAGTGGAAGTCCTCAGTAGGTTCTCACACTATTGCTGCTGATGGAGTTGAAGCAACGCGGGCTGGCTCCTATCGAGGTGAAGCAACGCGGGCTGTTCCTTTCGAGGTGAAGCAACGCGGGCTGGTTCCTATCGAGGTGAAGCAACGCGGGCTGGTTCCTTTTGAGGTGAAGCAACGCGGGCTGGTTCCTTTCGAGGTGAAGAAACGCGGGCTGGTTCCTATCGAGGTGAAGAAACGCGGGCTGTTCCTTTCGAGGTGAAGAAACGCGGGCTGGTTCCTATCGAGGTGAAGCAACGCGGGCTGTTCCTTTCGAGGTGAAGCAACGCGGGCTGTTCCTTTCGAGGTGAAGAAACGCGGGCTGGTTCCTATCGAGGTGAAGAAACGCGGGCTGTTCCTTTCGAGGTGAAGAAACGTGGGCTGGTTCCTATCGAGGTGAAGAAACGCGGGCTGATTCCTTTTGAGGAAGCCTCTCCTTTCAGGAGCACCAACCAGGATGGCCCTACTCTGCTGGCCTTCCTTTCCTTGTGAGGAGAAAGGGTTTCATGACATGTTGGTTTCCGAGGCGGGGCCTGGTTGGGGTGACTCCCTAGCTCCAGGCTGTAACTAACCTGAGCTGCTCTATGATGTAAGCCAAGGCCTCACCCTTAGGGCCAGCTGGGCCCAGGGAGTGTCTGGTTGCTTTGGGGAAGCCTGGACATGCTGAGCTCTCCTCTTTCCCTCTGCAGGAGAACTGTACCGGGTTTCCTTGAGAAGACAGAGGTTCCCTGCCCAGGGAAGCATTGAGATCCATGAAGACAGTGAGGTGGGCTGGGTTTTGGGGCGTGTCTGGGGCCATCTCAGAGGCCAGGATTTTAGGAAGAGCCCTTGGATAACAGGCAGCCTCGTTTTCTTCCAGCTCTTCATCTGACTGGCTGTGTGACCCTGGGCTGGTCCCTGTCCTTCTCTGGGCTTTGGGTTCCCATATGAAAAGGAAGGGTCTCTTGAGACTCCTTCCTGCTCAGACATGACTCCTGGCAGCCTGTGCCCTTTCCTCACTCTGAATGCACCAGAGGTTCTATCACATAGCTGGGCGTAGTAGAGCTGAGACTGCCACTCAAATTGGAGCTGAGAAAGGCTGGATATAGTGCCTACTTCTCTGGCCTCAGTCTCCCTGTATGTGTGTGTGTGTGTGTGTGTGTATGTCCCTGTGTGCCTCCTCCATCCCCAGCCGCCTCTCTTTCTCTATATCAACCGACATGGCTCTCAGGAAGGCTGCCCGCAGCGCTCCTGCAAGACACACGTCCTCCTGCTGGTGCTGCATGGGGGCAACGTCCTGGACACTGGCACCGGGGACCCGTCCTGCAAGGCAGCCGACATCCACACCTTCAGCTCCGTGCTGGAGAAGGTCACACGAGCCCACTTCCCTGCTGCCCTGGGCCACATCCTCATCAAGTTCGTCCCCTGTCCTGCTATCTGCTCTGAAGCTTTCTCACTCGTCTCTCAGTGAGTCCATTTCTGCTTGGTTGGGGCTGGATGGGGTTGGTGGGGCAACTAAGTAGAGGGGCTGCCCCTGCAACATGGACCCCGTGGGCAGGTGGGTACCTGCAAGCCCTGTCTGGGATGTCAGATCCTGATGAAACACAAGCATCTCTGGTGGAAGGGGCTGGGAATTGTCCTCTGCCTGGGCCTGGGTGTGCTGAGGTCCCCATGAAAGCTCAAGCCATTTCCCCCATGGTGGCCCAGCCAGTGGAGACAGGAGTCACACTCGGCCACGCAATTGCAACCAAGTAGGAATTTGAAAACACGAACGGTGTTTCTCCTTTGCTCTCACACCATAACAGTCAACACAGAAGATTTCTGGGGCCACATGGGAGGGGCTGTTTCCGTACACACCAAGCAATCAGTTCTGCTATGGACACCAGCTGGGTGCCCTCCGATTCAATCCCGTCACTGTCTACCTGGAGATAGCGTCAGATCCCATGGGGCGAAAGCTTGGTCCCACAAACTGCCCCAAACTTCTGATACCAAGAGCATGCTCCAGTTTGTTTTACCTGTGCTTCAGACGGCCTAGCTTCAAGTTGGGGTTCTCACAACCCTGTCACTGGGTTCAATTAATTGCTAGATCGGCTCACAGAACTCAGGAAAACGCCTAATCATATTAACTGGTGTTTGATAAAGGAGGCAGATGAAGGGATGCATAGGGTGAGGTATGGGGGAAGGGGCGGAGCTTCCCTGCATGTGCCACCCTCAAGGAACCTCCACGTGTTCAGATCGCAGGAAGCTCTCCTGTCCTTTCCACCCTTTAATGGAGGTGGCATTGGCTAGGCATGACTGACAACAAAGAAATGTGGTTGGACCACAAGGGTCTCAGACTCAGCCCTGGTAGGGAACCCAGCAGGGCCTGTCTGCTCAGATTCTTCTTGGCCTCTCTGCAGCATTCCCTTCTCCTGGGTATGGAGCAGGACTCCTTCTGAAATGAAGGTCTCATGACCTAAATCAGACGAGGGAGATCAGAGAATTTCTTTATAGCCAGCTGCAAGACAGAAAGGTGGGGGAGAGTTCCTGCCTGGGGAGAGAATACAAGGAGGGCAGGAGAATGCCAGAGGTCAGAGAGAGAGACAGAGAGAGAGACAGACAGAGGGATTGATTCTGTTTTCCAAGGCCTGCTCCTGAGGCCTAAAGTGCTCCAATATTATAATAAGGGATATGGGAGCCAGGAATTGTGGAAAAAACTTGTCTATCTATCTATCCATCCATCCATCCATCCATCCATCCATCCATCTATTCCTCCATCCATCCCCTATCACTCTATCCATCTCCTATATATCCATCCATCCCCTGTCACCCTATTCATCCATCCATATCTATCTATCTATCCATCCATCCAATTTATCTATCCCTCTATCTATCCCCTATCACTCTAGCCATCTATTATCTATCTAATCTATCCATCCATCCATCCCCTATCACCCTATTCATCCATCCATTATCTAGCTATCCATCCCTTATCACTCTATCCATTCAACCATCTGTTATCTGTCTGTCCTATTTGTCTATCCATCCATCTAGCCCCATCACTCTATCCATCCATTCATCCATCTATCTATCTACCTACCTACCTACCTACCTACCTACCTACCTCATAGTATCTCACTGCTGTGATGGAGGAGGAATAGGGCATTGTGGGCTCTCTGAGAAAGGCCAGAGAGGACTTCCTGGAGGAGTGACTTTTGGGTGTACATATCTTGGTTAAGTGTGTGGCCTCTCAGGCCAGCCTGGGTTTGCATCCTGGCTATGTGACTGGGGGAAGTTGTTTCACCTCTCCCTGTCTCAGTTTCCTAATCTATGCAACGAAAGTAACCATAGTAAATAACCTCTCCGGGTTGTTATGAAGATTCTGTGTGCTCATGTGTGTGAAGCATTCAACACAGTGTCCAGAACGTAGAAAGCACATGGGGATGCTAACCTTGGGGATGCCAGCTTTGGGGATGCCATCTGTGGGGATCTAGCTATGGGGATACTAGCCTCAGGGATTCTTGCTGTGGGGATACCAGCCTTGGGGATGCTGGCTGTGGGGATCCAGCCATGGGGATGCTAGCCTCAGGGAGACTAGCCATGGGGATGCCAGCCATGGAGATGCTAACCGTGGGGATGCCAGCCTTGGGGATGCTAGCCGTGACTCACATCATCTTCCTCCTGGCTGGAAGAGGGGCTCTCTCTGCAGGTGGAGAGTGGGCTGGGGAAGGAGACTTCCAACTTCCAGCAGAGAACCGAGCTGGTGGGGAGAAAGGAAGGATGATGTGTACAGGAGGGCTGGCTGAGCGCTGTGCAGCTTGTTCAGTGCTGATGCTGACACATCCACTGTGGGGCCTGGTACCTGTGGGGGACAAACTGAGTGACCAGGGGACCTCCAGGGTATGGGGCTTCTGGGAGATCCACCCACTGTTCCAGGCCTCGAGGGCCGCAGTGCTCCCCTCCTGCCTGTCCTGTCAAACTAGCTAAAGGTGCGTGCCTGGGGCCAGGTGGATACCTGGATTCTCAGCAGTCATATGTGCAGAAAATGACCCAAATGCCTGCAGGGCCCAAATCCTATAGGCATTTGGCAGATCACTGGGGCTGGCAGCTGGCAGCTGGGAACTTTCAGTTAGGGGCAGGAGGGAGGCCACTGCACCTCTACTCTGCCTCTCCCCTCACAGGACCCCACCAGGGACTTGGGGCTGCTGCAGAGCCCAGCTGTCAAGCAGGGCCCTCATACCCTGGGGCTCCGGGGCTGGGGAGAGTGGGAAGAGGTCCCCAGTAGGATGCCAGGTCTGTGGGGTAGACCACACTCCCGATTCCCCAGGAGAATGGGAGCCAGTGTTCTCAGCCAGATGAGGTTCTGAGAAGCACTCAGTGCGAGGAGGGCTCAAGTCCCTCATCCTGGAGCTTCCAGCTGATCAGAAGAGAGCATGGCCAACCGCCTTCCCTTTCCTGGGGCTTCCTTTTCCCCCTCTGGATTCAGGGAAAGTCAGAGACTCTGATTTATCTGCGTTCCTTGGACACCAACAGGAATTGCAGGCAGATCTCCATCTGAGTTGGAAGGAAGGAAGGAGATGAGGTCCATAGTTCCGCAGCTTGGCTAATTGCCTAAATCCCTGGTGTGATTCTTGTGAAACTGTGAGATGTCCACACCTCACCCCAACAGTGGCTGATTCAGGAGGGAGGCGCCCTGGAATCTGCATCTCCAACACCTGCTCACTGCTGAGCTGGCGGCACAGCGCGTTCCCTTGTCACTCTGACAGACCAGGACTTCACTCAGCTAGTTCATCATCCATCTCAGGAACCCCCTACCTGCCCCCAGGACATCTGACCTCCAGAGCTGGGTCACCCCTATCTCCAGGAAGATGGATGGCTGGGCCATTCATGGGACCAGCAGGAGGGAGCTTACTTCTCCCCCAGGCAGCTCCTCGCCAGGGCCATTCATCACCCTGTAATCACGACTGGGAGGGAGCTCTTTCTCAGCTAATTAAAATCTCTCCGGCTGCAATCGAGGCCTGCTTCCTCTAATTTGTGTTCTTTGGAGATGAGGAATGGCTGACAGGGCCAGCCTTGTACACCACGAGGACTCTGCCACCTGCTGAGAGTGCCTGGGCCCTGTCACCTGCCCCGGAGTCTGTGGAGTCCCAGTGGGGTCTGCACTGGGCTCCATTAGCCTGAGCTTGGGCTAAGGGGGAAGGGCAGGCCCTGGGCAGAGGTGGAGAGTTCCCAGCCTCCCTCTGTGGTCTTTCCTGACCAGCCAGGTCCCATAGTACATCTGGGTCAGAAGCCCCAGGGAACAGAAGCGGAGGTGGGGACAGGCAGGGGCGAGTTGCTCAGAGGCACTGGTCTCAGGTGCATCTGAGCTGCCCAGAGAGGGAGGGATTTCCTAGTGGGATGGTAGGGTGTTGAGGGCATCAGTGTAAAGTCTGGACAATCTGCTGGCTGGACACTCTTGGGCAGGCTGTCAGCCCCCTCTGGGGTCTCAGAACTTTCTGCGAAGCTGAAGAAAGCTCCGATCTTCTCCCAGTGACACAATGAAGACATCCTGTCTGCAACCATGTGCCCAGCTCCAAGCTATAGCCAAAATGTGGACCCCATGCCTGGCATGGCCTCTCTCCTCCTTTCCCAGCTTCTCCAAAGCCTTTCTTGAGGCCTAGTTCAAGCCCCACCTCCTCCAGGAAGTCTGCCGTGATGATTTGTTCCCACCTGTTCCACACTAGCTGGCTCCTCAGCTGACTTCTTCCTCTATGACTGGGGTGTCCTTTGGGGTCGAGCATAAGAGGATAAGAGAGCTCTGCAGTCACAGGGACCCCAGGGCCCATGCCCATGGCCAGCACAGGAAGGACACACAGCGAGTCAGTGTAGGCTTGAATCTTCTTCCCCCCTACCCGCACTGCCTGTGCTCTGTGTCACCAGGCTCCTGCCTGGGTCCTCCTGAAGGGTCCTCAGCCCCAAACCTGCCAACCTGCCCAATCCTGGCTGGGCTCACCTTGGGCCCCCTGTCTGCAGCCTGAACCCCTACAGCCACGATGAGGGCTGCTTGAGCAGCAGCCAGGACCACGTCCCTCTGGCCGCCCTTCCCCTGTTGGCCATCTCCTCCCCGCAGTACCAGGATGCTGTCGCCACCGTCATCGAGCGAGCCAACCAGGTGTACAGAGAGTTCCTCAAGTCCTCCGATGGGATTGGCTTCAGTGGGCAGGTAGGACAGCCCGCCCTTCCCTCCTCTCCCCTCCCCTGTTCTGGCCTCTGCCTGGGAGAGGCTGGAATCTACTGAAAGGACCAAGGCCAGGCTGTTCTAGAATCAGCATCGGAGCTGAGAGGCAGCTTTGGAGAGCTCTGGGTTTACCCTCATTTTACAGATAGAAAAACTGAGGAGATCAGCAGTCTGAGTTCTGATTCTGAGCCCATACTGCTCTCTAGCTGAGATCTGACCCCTGATAGTAGCCTACTCCCTGTCCTTGGGCTGACCTGGGCCAACGTCAGCCCTGACCCCCCAGTTTGAGCACTGCTTCCCAATTGAGCTCTCTCAATGGCTTCCAAGGACGAGTTCCTCATTCTCCTGAGGGGAGGCAGCATTGCTCTGTCTGGGTGTGGGTGTATGGGGTCAGTCATAGGCAGGCCTGAGTCCCAGCTGCGTCTCTTCCAGGTATGTCTCATCGGGGACTGCGTGGGCGGCCTCCTGGCCTTTGATGCCATCTGCTACAGTGCGGGGCCCTCCGGGGACAGCCCTGCCAGCAGCAGCCGGAAGGGGAGCATCAGCAGCACCCAGGTGCGGCTGGGGTGCAGGACTGTGGGCGGGGCACACCCGGGGGATCAGGGGCCACCCCTTGGGGAGGGAGTGCTGGTTCTCCACATTGGCACCATGACATCCAGGTTACAAAGAAGTATATCATAATCTGGCCAGGCGCAGTGGCTCAGGCCTGTAATCCCAGCATGTTGGGAGGCTGAGGTGGTTGGATCACTTGAGGTCAGGAGTTTGAGACCATCCTGGACAACATAGTGAAACCCCGTCTCTACTAAAAATACAAAAATCAGCCAGGTGTGGTGGTGGGCGCTTATAATCGCAGCTACTCAGGACGCTGAGGCAGGAGAGTCACTTGAACCCAGGAGGCAGAGGTTGCAGTGAGCCAAGATCACGCCGTTGCACACCAGCCTGGGTGATGGAGCTAGGCTCCCTTTCAAAAAAAAGAAGTGTACCGTAATTCTACAAGAGTAGCAGGGGATTATTACGACAGGCGGGGAAACTGAGGCCTGGAGAGGGCTGAGTTGGATTTGGCTCCTTCGACAACTGTCCAGCATCCCAGCTGGAATGTCAATTCCTGTGGGTGTAGGAGAGAGCCTATGCCTCAAATCCTGCCATTATTGTGATGTGGCTTCCTTGTGTCTTTTGGAAGAAGTGTGGCCCCTCACATCTTAGGATGAAGGGGCTGATTTGTGCTTGTGGGAGGAAACAGAGCCCAGAGTCTCCTGTGACAACAGTCTTCTGCTCTCCTGTCCCCTGCTCGGTCCCAAAGGACACCCCAATTGGGGAGAAGGATTGCAGCCTGGCCAGCAGCAAGCGTCTCAGCAAGAGCAACATTGACGTCTCCAGCGGGTTGGAGGATGAGGAATCCAAGAGGCCGCTGCCGCGGAAACAGAGTGACTCCTCCACCTATGACTGTGAGACCATCACCCAGCACCACGCCTTCCTCTCAAGGTAGCCCCTCTCTGTCCCCTTCTGGCTTTCTGTCAATGCACCCAGGAGCAAGAAGACCTTGGCTCAGAGTCAACTGGGAGGGCGGTGACCAGTCATATGTCCCAGGCCCTTGCATGGGGGCCCATACATAAGCATTGAAATCCTAGGGCAAAGGCCACTTGCCATCAGCCCTATACTGAGACTCTGTTACCTGCTCTCTGTCCCTGCTCTGCTCTGACTTGCAGAGAGGCTGGAAACAGTAGTCTTTTTCTGAGCCTCAGCCTTTCTTCTGCAAAAAGGTAATGGTGCCCAGCCTACCTCACTGGCTGGTTTTAAGAACCTGGTGGAGGTCGGGCACCATGGCTCACGCCTGTAATCCCAGCACTTTGGGAGGCTGAGGTGGGAGGACCACGAGTTCAGGAGTTTGAGACCAGTCTGGCCAATATGGTGAAACCCTGTCTCTACTAAAAATATAAAAATTAGCCAGGCATGGTGGTGGGTACCTGTAATCCCAGCTATGCGGGAGGCTGAGGCAGGAGAATCGCTTGAACCTGGGAGGCGGAGGTTGCAATGAGCTGAGATTGTGCCATTGCACTCCAACCTGGGCGACAGAGCGAGATTCCATCTCAAAAAAAAAAAAAAAAGCTGGTGGAATAACTGCTGTGACTGTGGTTTGTGAGTCACCCCAGGTGTGTGTTGTTATCATTTCTCTCAGGGAAAGAGAGGGCCAAGTAGGTCAGGAGCTTTCTAGGGGTCACGCAGCCAGTGATGGAATAGCTGGAATCATCATTCTGGTTTTCCTATCCCTAGTTCAGTGCTTTCTGATACAACACACTTTTGTTTGAGAGCCAGGCATGTCTCTCTACAGAACTGTCGACCCTTTAACTTTCTAGAAGAGGCATGTTAATCAACGTGGGCGAAATATGTTATCTGCACATTAATTCAACTTACAAATAGCTGTTGAACTCAGACCCAAGTTAGAGGGAATGTCTCTTTCTTTTTCCTCTGCTCCTCAGCTCTCTTCTTCCTTTCTTTCTCCTTCCTCCTTACCCAAGGGATAAGTATCATGAGATCATTACAACATTTGGAAAATACATCATCTGACCACCCAGAGGGAGCTACTGTTAACATTGAAACTATTTTCTTCCACACGCTTTAAGATAGTTTTACAGCCGGGCACAGTAGCTCACGCCTGTAATCTCAGCACTTTGGGAGGCTGAGGTGGGTGGATCACGAGGTCAGGAGTTCGAGACCAGCCTGGCCAATGTAGTGAAACTCCATCTCTACTAAAACTACAAAAATTAGCTGGGCGTGGTGGCAGGTGCCTGTAATCCCAGCTACTCAGGAGGCTGAGGCAAGGGAATCACTTGAACCCAGGAGGCGGAAGTTGCAGTGAGCCAAGATCGTGCCATTCCACTCCAGCCTGGGCAACAAGAGTGAAACTCTGTTTCAGAAAAAGAAAGAACCTTTCATATTGTGACCTTTTCCTGATGCAGTTAAAAATACTTGATAAATATTCTTAATGGCAATATAATATTGAGTGAATGGATATCAGTTTATTTAATCCCTGTAATTAGGTATTTTGGCGGTTTCCAATTCCTTACCACTGTAAGTAGCTCTGCAGTGAACATCTTTGCACATAAACATTAACGTGTATATTAGGATGATTGTATTTGGATGGATTCCTGGAGGAGGAATTACTAGGTCAAAGGCTCTGCACATTTACATCTCTGAATGTTTAAAGCCCCGCTGACAGATGATCCTTTAGAAAAGCAGCTGCCTTCTAGGGAGGCTTGCAAGATGAAAAATCTCAACCTTTCTGGTTCATCCTTGAAAAATCCTTTAGGGGAGCCCCAAATTTGGAGAGTGATGAGAAGTTGGAGGCTTCCAGTAGCTGGTCTGACACAGCCAGCTTTCCCCTCTGGTGTAGGGACAGATGGTGGTTTCTTTGGCAATTAAGTAGTTGGCGTGTGTCTAGGGACCATGCTGTACGTGAAATATGTATTGTTAAACATCAGAGTCATCGCCTCACTGTGAGATGCTCACACTGCAAGAGGCAGGCGGAAGCGTGGGGACTGAGGATTCAGCTTTGCAGACTCGCTCACTCCTGAGAGTGGGGCACTTGTCCGCACCATTCCAATCGCTCTTCCTTTTTGCTTTGAGTGATAGCAAAAATAAATTTATTGATCACTTACAATGTTCAGAAATCCTTCTCAGTGCTGCTTTTTTGTTATTATTATACTTTAAGTTCTGGGATACATTTGCAGAATGTGCAGGTTTGTTACGTAGGTGTACACGTGCCATGGTGGTTTGCTGCATTAATCACCCCGTCATCTGCATTAGGTATTTTTCCTAATGCTATCCCTCCCCAAACCCCCCACCCCCTGCTATCCCTCCCCTAGCCCCCCACCCCCCTACAGGCCCCAGTGTGTGATGTTCCCCTACCTGTGTCCATGAGTTCTCATTGTTTAACATCCACTTATGAGTGAGAACATGCAGTGTTTGGTTTTCTGTTCTTATGTCAGTTTGTTGAGAATGATGGTTTCCAGCTTTATCCATGTCCCTGCAAAGGACATGAACTCATCCTTTTTTTATGGCTGCATAGTATTCCATGGTATATGTGTGCCACATTTTCTTCATCCAGTCTATCATTGATGGGCATTTGGGTTGGTTCCAAGTCTTTGCTATCATAAAAGTGCCACAATGAACATACATGTGTATGTGTCTTTGTAATAGAATGATTTTATAATCCTTTGGGTATATACCCAGTAAGGGGATTACTGAGTCAAATGGTATTTCTATTTCTAGATCCTTGAGGAATCGCCACAGTGTCTTCCACAATGGTTGAACTAATTTACACTCCCACCAACAGTGTAAAAGCATTCCCCATGGATCTTTCTAAAGTTTGTTCTCCTCTAACTCAAGTATTTTAGTTGCTTTGCATTCACTTAATTGACAGATACATCATGTGGTCCCACTGTCAGGTTTTCACTTTAAGCTGTAGCTAATGCTGGCTGGAAGGTTAGGGAGGTGGCCCAGGTGTCCTTCTGATTCTCAGTGCCCTACTCTGGGTCTGTGGCTGAACGTGACTTGGACTCTTCCTGGGGCAATGGGCACCTGGGTTGGAAATGTTTAGAATTCTGTGTGTCTCACATTTTTCTCCTTAAGCCCTGCTTCATCTGCAGGCTGGGGCTGGCAGTGGGGAGACGAAGCTGTTTGCATCTGTGTCTGTGGGTTGCCTGGAACAGGAGTTAATGATGAAAGCCCGGATCCCTGCAGAACTGACGTTAGCCAGCTGGATATTGGGCAGGCTGGACTTGTCTGGTACACAGTGTAGGAATCCTCCGCATGGCCATCACAAAGCCAGTGTGACGAGGCAGGCCTGCCTGTGTGTAGAATGCTCAGACGCCCCCACGGGCTCAGCCTGTTTCTGTAAGTAACATTTTATTGGATCCCAGCCATGGCTGTCCATGACTGCTTTTATGCAGCAATGGCAGAGTTAACTAGATGCAATGGAGGCCACATAGTTCATGAAGTCTGAAATATTTACTCTCTGGCCCTTTGCAGAAAAGGTTCGTTGACTTTTTTTATTTTTTTGAGACAGAGTCTTGCTGTGTTGCTCAGGCTAGAGTGCAGTGGCGCGATCTCGGCTCACTGCAACCTCTGCCTCCTGGGTTCAAGCTATTCTCCTGCCTCAGCCCTCTGAGTAGCTGGGATTACAGGCACATGCCACCACACCTAGCTAATTTTTTTGTATTTTTACTAGAGAGGGGGTTTCACCATGTTGGTCAGGCCGCTCTTGAACTCCTGACTTTGTGATCCATCCACCTTGGCCTCCCAAAATACTGGGATTACAGGCATGAGCCACCGTGCCCAGCCCATTGACTACTTTTCTAGCCAAATACTGGCCAGGCCTTGGTGGCCAGTGCTGACTGTAGGTGGTGTGCAGCTGGTGGACTGGACTCAGTCCTGTCCCAGAGGTGGAGGGTGGGGCACTGGGCGCTCAGAGTTCAGGCTGCGCCGCTGAGTGAACACGCCAGCATTCTCAGTCCTTCCCTAACCTGCCCTGTCCTGTGTCCCCCTCCCTTGCAGCATCCACTCCAACGTGCTAAAGGATGAGTCTGAGACCCTAGCGGCCGGGGGGCTGCAGCTCCCCGAGGTCAGTCTGGGCCGCTTTGACTTCGACGTGTCTGACTTCTTCCTCTTCGGCTCACCGCTGGGCCTGGTCCTGGCCATGCGGAGGACGGTGCTGCCTGGGCTGGACGGTAGGGAGAGTGGGCAGGGGCCTGAGATTCCTGTGCGCCACTATGGCCACCCACTGTGTCAGGGCCTCAGAATGAGGGCAGTGGAGTTGGGGATGGGGGCAGGGAGGGTCACAGAGTTGGGATAGGTGGAAAGAGAGGAGAGAGGGTGGGGCAGAGAGGGGAGAGAGGAGCAGCTTCCCTCCCAACGTGGGGTGAAGGTGAGGCAGCTTCGGATGGATTTCACACTGTTCCCATCAAGTGCCCCTGGCTGCTTTTCTGGTGGTCATGCCCTTTGGAGAAGAGAGGCTATAATATTCACCCTCTTGCCTCCCACTCTCTCCTTCTCCTGTGCTGAGGCAGACACTGCAGCCAGGTTGGTTACTGCCCACCCCTGCATATCCCCAAGCCCTCCCCCACCTCAGGTGCCTTTGCTCATGCAATACCTGCAAATTTTTTTTTTTTTTTTTTGAGACAGAGTCTTGCTCTGTTGCCCAGGCTGAAGTACAGTGGCGCAATAGAGGTCTCGACTCCCTGCAACCTCTGCCTCTGGGGTTCAAGTGATTCTCCTGCCTTAGCCCTCTGAATAGCTGGGATTACAGGCACCCGCCACAATATCTGGCTAATTTTTGTATTTTTGGTAGAGATGGGGTTTCACCATGTTGGTCAGGCTGGTCTCAAACTCCTGACCTCAAGTGATCCATCTGCCTCAGCCCCCCAAAGTGCTGGGATTATAGGCATGAGCCACACTGCCTGGCTGGTACCTGCAACCTTGAACACCTTTTCATTTTCCTCTAAAATGCACACACCAGGCAACTGGCACCAGCAAGCATAGGGTCAGGGAGGGTAGCAGTGACTCCAAGGTCGGAAGCACACACCGTCTGATACTGCAGGGCATCTTGGGTATCCACAGATCCATGCTTTTAGCCAAAGCTTACTGACGAGCTGCAGTATGGAACAGATCAAGTGGGGAGGGCTCTGGTAGAAATGGAGGCAGGAAGGCAGAACCCCATGGCTGCCTTCAATGTCACAAACGAACCCTAGGGCTCCGTGGGTGCTGGAGGGTCCCAGTAGGGAGGCCCACGGAGGATGTGGAGGCCTCAGTGGAGACACCTGCTGGTCAGCAAGAGAAGTGTTCCACCTGCTCCAGCAAACCAGGAACTCCCTCTGGCCGCAGGCCTGGGAACTGAGTGCGTATAGCCCTGAGGCCTGCGGAAGGGGCAGCTGACCTGCCTGAAGGAACCTGGGCTGGTTTCCTATGTCAGGTAGTAACTAAGTGAAAACTGGAAGAATTTAAAGGAGTTGCCCTGTGGAAATGATGGAGGGAGGGCCCACAAGGAGAAGGGATGGTTTGAGCAAAGGCGCAGAGAAAGGAAAGCTGCAAGACCGAGCGGGGATGGGCAGGTGTGCACCGAGGCTGCAGTGCTGGGTGCCTATTACAGCGCTCCGGGTGGGGCCGATTGGCAAGGCCTTGAATGACAAACCGAAGGTAATGGCTTTGTTCCCATGGGAGCAGGGAGCCCTGGGAGGTTCTTGAAAGGGGAGTAGACTGCTTCAAGCTGTACTCCAGGGAGCCTCCGAGGGCCTAGGGAGCAGGTGCAAGAAAGGGGCTTCCTTCTGTGTCTTCCACTTCCTTCTGTGTCTTCACCCCAGGCTTCCAGATGCGCCCTGCCTGCAGCCAGGTCTACAGCTTCTTCCACTGTGCAGACCCCTCTGCCTCTCGGCTGGAGCCGCTGCTGGAGCCCAAGTTCCACCTGGTGCCCCCTGTCAGTGTGCCCCGCTACCAGAGGTTCCCACTGGGCGATGGCCAATCCCTCCTCCTCGGTAGGTTCTTGCGGGCAGGAGAGTGTGTGCTGAGCTGGAGGTGGGGTCCCCGCCCTGTGGCACCCAACACTGGCCTCTCTGGTCCAGCCCCTCCAAGCACTCAGTGAGTAGGGTGATTCCCCTGAACAGGGGCTGTGAGAACAGGATAGCCAAATCCTCTGTCCTCAGAGTGGCCCACCTGTGCCAAGCACCTGCTCCGTCTGCGGCATGTTGGGGCTCAGAGACCCAGGCTCTGTCCCCTAATGGGCTCCCAGACACACTCCTGTGGCCAGGGCTGGTGTAACACTTGAGCTTTCAGACCTGACGGCAGGTCCAGGGATCCATGCTCTGAGCTATTTGCAAGTACCCAGCTTAGACTCTGTAGGGGTAGGGCAGAGAGTGTGCCATTCTGGTGGGCTCCATGGGAGAGATGGCCTTTGATTAGGGTCCAGACAGAGGAGGTGCATTTGGACATGTAGAGAAGAGCTAGTGGACGAGGAGTGAGATCTTCTAGGGGAGAGAACAGCAGAAGCGAGGGCAGGTGGTTTGGCAACAAGCCAGTGGCCTCCAGGGTCAAGTGGGGTGATCTGGGCATGGACCGACTGTGTCATCGATGGGAGGCCTGTAACGGACAGTCAGAGACTTGGAAATCAGAGCCTTGGCTCCATGCCCGCCTTGAGGAGGTTTAGCCTAAGCCTGCTCAGAGCTATACGTCCGGGATGAAGGAGCTGTGGATGGGGCACATTCAGGATTAAAATCCATCCCTTCTTCACCCCTGATTCAATGGAGCCTTTGTTTCCAAATCCCTGCCTGCCTGGAGCTTCAGCAGGTAGGCTGGCCTGGAAACCTCCCTCCCCATGGGGCCCTTTTAGGTCAGGGGATTCTTCTCCCTCCCCCAAGGCTATCCTAGCTCCCAGGCTGGAGTCCTCATCCCTTCCAGAGGCGGCCTCAATCCTTTGTGGTGCAGGGGAGGAGTTGGATCAGAGACGACAAGGATATGAGTCACCCCTGGGGCCTCAGCTGGTGCTTTTGGGGCAATGTCCCAGAGGCTTCCTCTGCAGCTTCACTGCGTAACTCATAGCTGCAAGGAGGTAAATTCAGCAATGTGCTATGGCAACCAGGTCACTTGAGGCCCGGGGGGCTGGTGGGGTGGGCACAGTGAGAGGGGCAGGTGCCTGCTGGGCTGGCAAGTGAGCAGTGCCGGGGCTGGCTCCTCCCAGTGCGCAACCTCCCACCCAGCATAGGGCTGGCACTGAGTGGAACCTCCCACCCAGCATAGGGCTGGCACCAAGTGGGCGGCTCTGCTGGAGACACGTGACTCCGCCTGACCTTGAAATTCCCCCTCCAGCTGATGCCCTGCACACCCACAGCCCCCTCTTCCTGGAGGGCAGCTCCTGGGACAGCCCGCCTCTTCTGGACACCCCTGCCTCGCCCCCTCAGGCCTCAAGGTTCCAGCGCCCAGGACGGAGGATAAGCGAGGGCAGCTCCCACAGCGAGAGCTCAGAGTCCTCGGACGGCATGGCACCCGTGGGTGCCTCCCGCAGTGAGTGAGGTCCTTTTGGGGCCCTGCCTGATTTGGGGGAGGGGAACCTTCCTCTGGGTGGTTACTGGGTCACTGCTAGAGCTGCTGAGGGCAGGCCCTAGGGTGGGGAGAGGGTGGAGGACGTCCTGGGGGCTGCTTCTGCCTTTAGAGAGCTGAGGTCTGCTGGTGGAGACCAGGACAGCGGTCCAAATCCTCACTCAGGCCCCAATCTGAGCTCTCACCTCAGAGGAACCTTGACTTCTGACCTGGACAGAGCCGTGAACGGACCCTGGCTCATTTCAGAGCTCTGACCTTGAAGAGAGTACAGACCCCTGGCCCCTGACTGGGACTGAGCTTTGACCTCAAACAGAGCCCTGACCTCTGACCCTGGACAGTGCCCTGAACTCTGACCCTGGACAGAGCCCTGACCTCTGACCCTGGACAGGGCTCTGACCTCTGACCATGAAGGAAGTCCTGAACCCTCCAGACACAGACTCAGCCCCAACTTCAGACAGAGCTCACTGGGAACTGCCATGAGCGGCAGCCCTGGGCAAGACTGTGGACGTGTCTGTGGCTCTGGCCCTCCTTCCTGGGCACGGGCTTGGAGCACACATTTTAGGGGATGGCTGGTGGGTTTCGAGAAGGAGAGAGGAAGAGCAGCACATTTCCCAGGCTTTCTTCAGGCCAGGGGGCTCCAGCCCAAACCTGTGCCCCGCGTGATGCTTCTGCCACCAGTCTGTGCGATGGAGACCCCATGACCCTCTGGTTGAGGCCCGGGCCGGCCACCCATCCTCACCTTCCTCTCGGACCCACAGTCACAGCCAAGTGGTGGGGAACCAAGAGGATCGACTACGCCCTGTACTGCCCTGATGTCCTCACGGCCTTCCCCACCGTGGCCCTGCCCCACCTCTTCCACGCCAGCTACTGGGAGTCCACGGACGTGGTCGCCTTCATCCTGAGACAGGTACCGCTGCTGCCATTGTGGGCCTGCCCACAGGACCCGAAGGGGTGCCGCCCTTCTCTATCTGGAGAGGAGGCTGTTCTTGAGCAGTGTGCAAGGGTGACAGTGTGTGGGCTTAGTCCTCTGTGAGCATTGCTGCAAGGGATAGCAGGGACGTGGTGGTCCCTGGAGAGGCATGAGGAGTCCGAGAGTATATTTTAAGATGGGCGTATTAAGCATATTTGGGTGCTAAGAAGAGTGGTCTAGCAGAGGCAGTGTAGTCAGCACTGCAGGATTGAAAGGGGAGCATCACTGGAGCAGCGTCCTCAAGAAGCACGGAGGGGCTGGGATCAGTACTCATGCCGGTCTTAGGGAAGGGCCACCTGTTAGGCTGGGCATGGTGGCTCATGCCCATAATCCCAGCACTTTGGGAGGCCGAGGCAGGTGGATCACCTGAGGTTGGGAGTTCAAGACCAGCTTGACCAACGTGGAGAAACCCTGTCTCTACTAAAAATACAAAATTAGCCGGGCGTGGTGATGCATGCCTGTAATCCCAGCTACTCAGGAGGCTGAGGCAGGAGAATCGTTTGAATCCGGGAGGCAGAGGTTGCAGTGAGCGGAGGTTGCGACATTGCACTCCAGCCTGGGCAACAAGAGCAAAACTCCGTCTCAAAAAAAATAAAAGGAAGGGCCACCTGTTGTAACAGGGAAGGCAGAGAGTGGGGACAGAAACAGTTGGCTGCCAGGTTTGGGCCCAGGAGGCAGAGACTTCTCTCAGGAAGGGAGCCAACTGGGAGACTACTTTGGCCTCAGCTTCCAGGACAGGAGTGCAGGGACATGGGTCCTGGGGTCTACAGCCTCCTGATGGTTCCAGGCTGTGAGGTTGGGGGATGGCAGGGGCAGGGCCCAGCTGGTCACAAGCTGGTGGGCGCTGACACCCTGGGAGGGAGGCAGAGGAGCCAGAAGGCCTGACCAGGGGGCCCTGCTTGGCTCTCGGCCAGGTGATGCGCTACGAGAGTGTGAACATCAAGGAGAGTGCCCGCTTGGACCCCGCAGCACTAAGCCCTGCCAGCCCCCGAGAGAAGTGGCTTCGTAAGCGGACCCAGGTCAAGCTCAGGGTGCGTGCATTGCTGGGGTCACATACAGCTGGGACTGTGTCCTCCGGGAGGTGGGGCTGGGCTGGGGGCTGGGGCATCTGCATGGCAGGTCAGCAATTCGATTTGCCCTCAGAGCTTGACACCCGAACAGGCTGCTGGGACTCACACTCAGGTGAGGCCCAGGCACTGCAGCTGCAAAGTTGTATGAGTTACTTCCCCATGGCCTGGTTCCACAGTAGCCCTGAGGGCAGAGGTCCAAGACACTAGGGTTGGTGAGGAGATACCTGTTATAGAGCAATCGCTATATGCCAGACTGCGGTAGATGTGGACTTGAATCAGAAAGAGTCCTGGCGCTCAGCCTCACTTACCATAGAGTATGGCCTGGTATGATATTTGATAGAGGGAGGCACAGATTAAGACAAAGATGGAAAGAAGGATTGTCAGGGCAAATCATTCAGGCCTTCTCTGAAGAGGCTCCTCTGTGGGGTATTGAAGGGTGAATAGGAGTTTGAGGTGCATATATTTATTGATCCACTCAGCAAACAATCATCAATGCCTACTCTGTCTCAGTCGTTGTCCTAGGGAGTGGGGTATAGGGTTGTACAGACACAGCCATTGCTATGGTAGGCACCTCCAGTCTGGTGACAAGACCAGACATGGACCCCAGGAACAGTCCTAAGAGGTAGAAGGAGATCAATCCTTCATGAATCAACTCTTTTTTGGTAAACATATTTATTGCGATAAAATCCATGTATCCTATAATTTACCTATTTAAATGGTACAAATCAGTGGATTTTAGTATTCACAGATGTGTGCAACCATTACCACAGTCTGTTTTAGAACATTTTCATTACCTCCATAAAGGTCTCTACCCTTTAGCTGACACTCCCTCACTTGCCCTGAGCAATCAGGAACTGACTCTGTTCCTGCAGATCTGCCTATTCTGGACATTTCATTTCAATGAAATGATGTAATGTGTGACCATCTGTGTCTGGCTTCTTTCACTTAGCATATTGTCTTCAAGGTTCATCCACGTGGTTGCTGTGTTGGAAATTCCTTTCTGAGGCTGAATAATATTCCGTTGTATGGAGATGCGATGTTTTGCTTATCCATTGGCTACCTGATGGACATTTGGGCTGTTTTCACCTTTTAGCTACTCTGAATAATGCTGCCATGAACATTCGTATACGTTTTTGTATTTTTCATTTCTCATATGTTTTCATTTCTCTCGGATATATGCCTAGAAGTGCCATTGCTGGATCAAATGGTAACTCTGTTTAATCGTATAGGGAACTGCCAGACTGTTTTCCACAGTGACTGTACCATGTTACAGTCCCACTAGCAATGTATGAGGATTCTGATTTCTCTACATCTTCAGCAACCCCTGTGATTATCTCTCTCTCTGATTCCAGTCGTCCTGGTGGGTGTATTTCATTGTGGTTTTGATTGCATTTCCCTAATGACTAGTGATGCAGCATCTTTTCAGGGGCTGATATTCATGAACCAGCTGTTCCCTCCCCCAGACAGCACACCTGGAGGGAAGCCTATGTCCCCTACTTGGCTGAGTGTCTCCAGGGCAGGGCCCGCAACCTGTTCATCTCAGGGACCCATGCAAATGAGGTGTCTGTGGATATCTGTTGGATTGAATTAAAATGTGTGGGAACCGAAAGGAGGCCAAGAACGTATCTTTGAGGAGTCCAAGGAGTGCTTCTTGGGGAGGTGATCCTGAGCCTAGTCATAGTGAATGGGCTGGAGTGAGGGGCAAAAGGGCCGGGGATGGCACCGAGAGCCAGTGTGGGGGTGGGGTGGTGGTGTGAGCAAAGGCCTGGAGGCTGCTGCAGAGCTTGGCAGAAAGCACCAGATGGTGTGGACAGGGAGCAGTGGGAGACAAGCTTGAAGAGGTGGTTCAGGCAAGGCTTGGAGGGTTAAGCTCAGGGTCTGGACTCCACCCAGAGGACACTGGGGAGCTGGGGAGGGTGTTAATAGATCTGTGCTTTATGTTTTTTTGGTTTGTTTGTTTGTTTGAGATATAGTCTTGCTCAGACTGGAATGCAGTGGTGTGATCTTGGCTCATTGCAACTCTGTCTCCCGGGTTAAAGTGATTCTCTGTCCTTGGCCTCCCCCTTAGCTGGGACTACAGGCACATGCCACCATGCCTGGCTAATTTTTTGTATTTTTAGTGGAGATGGGGTTTCACCGTGTTAGCCAGGATGGTCTCGATCTCCTGACCTCGTGATCCATCTGCCTCAGCCTCCCAAAGTGCAAGGATTACAGGCATGAGCCACTGTGCCCGGCCAGATCTGTGCTTTATAAAGACAGAGGCTGTCTTGCAGGGACTGCCTTCGAGTAAGGAGCTCAGTTAGGAAGCTGTTAGCAGCACCCGGGCCATGTGGTTGTAGGGGAAAGAGGTGGCCAGCATGATAAAGGAATGGTCACTGGATTGAGAGACGGGGTCTTGGAGGCCAGGCTGGGAGTCAGGGCTGGTAGGGGCCAACACAGGCCTCAGAGCTGCAGAATGAACTGAAACCAGAAGTGAAGAAGAGTAGGGATGTTGAGACAGTCACAGATATCCTGGATAATCCTGGCGGGGCTGGGGCTGAGGCTGGGGAATTGGGCAAGGGGAGAATGAAACCAGGAGGGCTGTGAGTTCGTTGCTAAGTGGTAGAGCAGGTGCCGGGAACACAAGGCTTTGTTACACTCTTCTCTCTATGCTTGGGCATTTGAAATTTTATCTAAAAAAAAAAAAAAGACAGATGGTAAATATCTGTTGGATGTGAGCTGTGATGTGGAAGAAAGAATCAAAGGTGGCCAGGCAGTTTCCCGACCAGGCGTCTAGAGGACAAGGACGGGCTGTGAGGCCGGTTGTCCCCTCAGGGCTGAGCAGAGTCAAAAGCAGAGAATGTACAACAGCAGGAAGCCCAGTGCTCCTTGAAGATGGCATTAGGGGGACTCATGCTCTGTTTTTCTTACAAGTTCCCTGGGACCACATCTCTGACACTCCAGCGGAAGTGAGTAGGGAGACATGATTCAGTGGGCTTAATGGCTCTGGCCAGTCTGAAGAACACTGCGATGATACAGCAAGGTTGAGCCTGCAAAGGCTGAGCTGGCTTCTTTCTGTCCTTCCAGAATGTGACGGCTAATCACCGGGCCAACGACGTGATTGCCGCTGAAGATGGCCCCCAGGTCCTGGTGGGGCGGTTCATGTACGGGCCACTCGACATGGTGGCTTTGACTGGAGAGAAGGTACCCGGGGCTGGGCATCCTCTCCTCGGCCCCTCCACCTGCACCAGGTGCCTCATGGAGCCATATGGCATGTGGAGTGAGGGTTCCAGGAGGGCCGAGATGCCTGGGGTGGCCGCACAGGGCTGGAAGCCACTCACCTGCCTGGGCAGGCCAGGGAGGGTGAGCAAGGAGGAAAGGATGGGCTCAAAGCATCCAAGGATGAATGAGGAGCCAGGGTGGCAGGAGCCAGGGAATGTCAGGCAGGGACATCAGCCCAGAGCTCCCCTGCCCAGCCCCTCTGCCAAGCCTGCAGCCTCTCAGCCTTCAGGAAGTCCTGATTCCCTTCACTGCCACAGGTGGACATCCTGGTAATGGCAGAGCCGTCCTCAGGCCGCTGGGTACACCTGGACACGGAGATCACCAACAGCAGTGGTCGAATCACATACAATGTGCCCCGGCCCCGGCGCCTGGGGGTCGGCGTCTATCCTGTGAAGATGGTCGTCAGGTAAGACCCAGGGGCCGTTCTCACGGGGGTTTCTCTGCTTTCCATGGCCCTTCCAGCCAGGCCTGTCTAGAAGATGGGATCCTTGAGGCTCCTTTGACCCCCATCTCTGTCTGCGTGGACAGAGGTAGCTGGGAGAGGTCACTAGCCGTGGCATCAGGAGATGCCACACAGGTGCTCTCTGACCTTGACCCACCCCGAGCTCTGACCGCAGCTCCAGGCTGACCTCTGGCTTCAGGCTCACCTCTGACCCTGCCTGCACGGCTGACCATAGGGAGGTTCCTTTCAGGGGCGACCAGACCTGTGCCATGAGCTACCTCACGGTGTTGCCGCGGGGCATGGAGTGCGTGGTGTTCAGCATTGACGGGTCCTTTGCGGCCAGCGTGTCCATCATGGGAAGTGACCCCAAGGTCCGGCCGGGCGCAGTGGACGTTGTCCGGTGAGTGCCGTCTTCCATGAGGGATCTGTCTCCCTGGGGGGCAGGAGCCAGCAGTCCTGGGGGAAATACTTTGTTTTTCTGATTTGCCCTGGGAATTCTATTGATCTCTGGGGCTGTGAGCTGAGAAGTCCTGGCTTTACTTCTAACAGTAATTCATTGAGTGTCCTTGGGAGAAATCTCTCCTGCTTTCTAGACCTCAGCTTGTCTGTTTCTTCCTCCCTCCCTCCCTCACTTCCTTCCTCCCTCTTTCAATTCCTTCCATTTTCCTTCCTCCTTCCCTCTCTCCCTCCACTCAAGCATGCATCCACCACTTTCTGAGGCCCATTGTGGCCAGGCTGTGTGCTGAGCACGGATGCAGAGTGAGCTCCTAAGTTGGAGGAAACTCAGTCAGGTGGGGAAAATAAGTCGCAGGCATGAGAAACTGTAGCCTAGGGCTCCAAGTGATCAGAACCTCAAGAGTAGGAAGATGCCAGGCACTGGAAGTTCTTGGGGGCTGGAGAGTGCCCTGCCTTACCCCAGTGACCGTGATGGCTTTGGGGAGAGAAGAGGTAAAAGGGAGTTCTAAACCTGGAACGTTCTAAACAGGTAACAGCAATGGAGAGCTGGGATATGCCTGTGAGCACGTCCAGCACAGACATCTTGGTTTAAGTACAAGGACATAGAATGCACTCTGTGCCTGTAAGCATGGCATATTTAACAGCTACCTAGGACAGGGCTTGACAAAGAGTTATTAGCACACTTATGATTTATTCTTTAACAAGAAAGGAAACTTTAAAGAAGAACTTTTTTACTTCCCACAACAGGGCTCGTCCAGGGGCAGCAAAGCAGCTCTGGGTGGGCTGGAGGATCCCATATGCAAGGGCAGAGCAGGGACATGGCCACAGAAGCAGAGAGAGGCCTTGAGGCTCTACCTCAGGGCCCTGGGACCTGGAGATGCTGTCAGGCAAAGGAGTGCTGGGGTTAGATTTGTGATGTATAGAGATCACCATGTAAACACTGCAGAGGATAATAATAAAGCCAAGCACACCATGCATGCTTGGGATTAATTCCTTTCATCTTTAGGACAACCTCATGGGGTGGTTAATATTATTACGCCCATTTTACAGATGGGAACAGTGAAACCCTGGGAGGCTGAGTAATCTGTCCAGGGTTATATGGCTCAGGTTAGATGCCAGTAGGAATGGTGGGGGAGGGAAAGAGGCTGCCCAGAAGGCTTTTGTAGTGGCCCAGGAGAGAGATGGGGCCCAAGCTAAGGATGAGAAGCATGGCTTCAGTGAGAGGGCTGGGGAGGGTAAAGAGCCTGGCCTGGTGAAACCATAAAGCTTGCTCCCTGGAGGAGGAGGAGGGATGGAGGCACAGGGAACAGGGAGGAATGAAAGGCACCTGTCTCTGGCTCTGAAGTGGCTGTGAGCAGGGGGGCAGGGGTGAGGAGATGAATTTCGATATAGGCATGCGGTGCCTGCAGGGCCATCGAGGGGGGATGTCCTGGGTTCAACCCGGAGAGGGGATTCAGGGTCCCCTGTGTTCTCTCCAGTATGCCTCCGGCTGGTCTCTCTGGCATCTCAGGAGGGCAGCTAAGGGCAGGGTGGGTTTTTGGGCATTGGGTGCCTTGTGCTGGGTGGGGCTGGACCCTCCTGATGCCATCTCGCCAGGCACTGGCAGGACCTGGGCTACATGATCCTTTACATCACGGGGCGGCCGGACATGCAGAAGCAGCGGGTGGTGTCGTGGCTGTCCCAGCACAACTTTCCCCAGGGCATGATCTTCTTCTCGGACGGGCTGGTGCACGACCCGCTGCGGCAGAAGGCCATCTTCCTGCGCAACCTCATGCAGGAGGTGAGTGTCCAGTCCAGGGTGGGGGCGGGGGCAGGGGCAAGGGCTGCTCTGCGGCTTGAGAGCGTGACCCTCCTCCACACCACGCCCTGCCTTCCAACCCTCCTCTCTACCACTCCTGCCTCCCTCCACCCGGGTGGGGCCTCATGGATGTGCAGTGTGCAAAGTCCATTCCTGTGGATCTTGCTGGGTCCTCCAGCAGCCCTGAGAGGTAGGTATTAGTCTCGTCACTGATAGAGGAGAAAGGTGAGGAGTCAGAGGCTTGCCCTAGATCTGAGTCAGACTTTCATCCTTTATCTCCTGACTCTCTACATCTGGCCATTCATCCAAAGGACATTTAAGTGTCAATTGCGTTCCTTACTCTGTGCTTGTTGGGGCTGCACAGAGACAAACAGAACGGGGAAGAGGGGGCAGGATGTTCTTTTCGTGACCCGGAGCTATGGTTCCCTCTAGCAGCACCTGGGAACTCAGAAGTGCAAATTCTCTGCCCCGCCCCTCTACAACCCTCTTAGATCTACTCAATCAGAAACTCTGGGGAGGGGCTCAGGAACCTTTTCACAAGCTCTCCAGGGGATTCTGATGCACAGAAAGATTTTGAGAATCCCCGACCTAGAGCAGAGCAGGAGTTGACAACCAATGACCAAATCCAGCCCACAGACTGTTGATGTGATTGTGAGCTATTGTCTCCGTCCATTTCAAATGGACGAAGACAATCAAACGAATGGTACTTCATGACATGAAAATTACATGCATTTCAGTGTCTCTAAATAAAAAAGTGTGACTGGAACTCAGCCAAACTCATCTGTTTACATACTGTCTATGATTGCTTTTTGCAATACAACAGGAGAATTGAGTAATGGTAACACAGTGCGAAGCCTGAGACATTTACTATCTGGGCTTTCCAAGAAAAAGTCAGCAAATCCCTGGTCTAGAGGAGGAAGGACATGTAAATTGACAAGCACTGGTGTGTGGTTGGAAAAAGACCCTTTTAGCAAACAGAGGAGAAATGACTTGGGTTTGGCCATGGAGGCCAGGGAAGGCTGGTAACTTTTGAGCTGAGTCTTGAAGGATGAGTTTGTCAGGTAGACAATAAAACAGCCTGTGCAAAGGCACAGAGGCAGGACAGAGCTTGGGACGTTCTCAGAGCTGCAGGCATCCAGGATTGGGGTAAATGCAGGCAGGGTTACACCCAGGACAAGTGGGAGCTGAGCCCTCAGAGATCATCAGGGGCCCAAACTTGGCAGATCCTGAAAACCTTGGAAACCAGGCCAAGATCATAAACTCTCTGCTGAGGGTAATAGGGAGCCGTGGAAGAGTTTAAAGCAGGGAAGTGGCAGTGTTTAATTTGGCTTGTAGAACAATCCTATTGGTGGCTGTGTGGAGAACAGATTGGGAGCTGTTGCCCAAGCAAAAGACAGGAAGACCATAATCCAGGCAACGAGGACCACAGGATGGAGAGAAAAGCAGGGACAGGATTAGGAGGTGGAATTGTTAGGACTCAGGGATGCTGGGATGCAGGGAGTGAGGAGTTGAAGATGCCTGCGCTGGGTGACCAGGAGGTATCCAGGTGCTGCACACCTGACCAAGGTCTCTATGGAGGCAGAGCCTGATGTTCTGCTCACCAATACAGCTTCTGGATTGGGGTATGATGCCCTGTGGTAGGGACTCAATAACTGTTGGTAGAGTGAATGAATGAATGAATGAATGAGTGGATGTGAGGGGACATGAGAGGAGGACCAGGCTAGAGGGAGATGAGCTCAGCTGTGGATATGTCAAGGCTGCTATGGCCATGGGACCTGATATGGCTTAGGGGAGGTCTGGGCTGCAGGTGGAGACTGGGAAACGATGCATGGGACAGATCAGTGGAGCCCCAAGAGGGTAGGCGAAGCATGAGAAGAGAAGAGGCTGTGCTGGGCCCCCAAGAGCAGGACAAGGAGCGGCTGAGGAACCAGGAGGAGAGTGAGAGGGGGAGGAGGGCCAGGAGAGAGAGGCTCCAGGTATCTGGAGAAGAGGGGTTCAAGGAGACAGTGTCCCTCTTGCCAAGGGTGTGGGATGCTGTGAACTGTCCACTAGACAAAGATTGACCACCGGATGACCTTGGTGAGGAAGGGACACTTTGGAAGGACAAGGGGGCAAAAGTAGTAGAGTGAGGAGCAGAGAAGGTGGGTGTCAGCTGGGAGGTTCATGAAGAAGGTAGGCAGGGTCGCCAGAGCTGGAGGATCCAAGTTACAGGAGTGAGCTCAGGTGAATGAGAAGGTGGAAGGACCAGACAAAAAGAGGCTGCTCCGTCCTCTGAGCCAAAGGCCAGCTGGGAATAAACCAACCATTGAGGGGAGGGGCAGCGGGCTGAGGAAGCCCTCTCCTTGGTTCAGCATCAAAGGCAGTCACCTGCAGGATGGAGTAGGTCCCAGGGAAGGACAGGAAGAATATGGAAGGTGAGAGCTGCGTGGCTCTGCCAGTTTCTTTAGCAGCTCTTGGTGGGCAGCGTGTACAACCAGACAAAGGGGCTGGTGGAAAAGTTCCAGGGTTGAGATTTGGCCGGGCAGGTGTGGGAGGAGGATGAAGGGGTGAGAGACCCTGGGGTGGAGGCAGAGGGCACAGGGATGCCACGGGTCACTCAGTCAGGTTAAGGAAGGGGCAAGGCAGGAAGGTGTTGCAGAAAACACAAGCGTCGGTGAGGCTGAGAGCAGCCAGGGGCGGGCAGAGAAGTGGAGGGGAGCGGGGGCAGAATCCCTGGGCGGAGTGGACATGTGGAATTTCACAGTTTGAGGGGCAGGTTCTGAGTTTGGTCCTGGAAGTGATGGCCACTGCCATCAAAGAAGGTGCAAAGCTGCGAGGCTGGCTGGGAGGTGGTAGGTCCTTCACATCACTTGGACTGTGGGTCCTCCCAGCAATGGTGGCGCTTGGGAGGAAGGAAAGCTGTGACCCAGGACCAAAGTCTCCAGTGGGTTGGAAAGAGCATGATTGGGAAAAAAGAGGATGACATTGAGGGGAGGCACACATCGAGGGGCAGCTGGGGGGCCGGCACCTCACAGGAGGAGGTAGTTTGATCCGGTTTATCTCCAGGAGGGGAGGGGAAGGTGATGGTCTGGAAGTGTCCCTGGAGCAAGGTGGATCTTGTGCAGTTGTCTGAATTGAATTGGGGATTCTGGGAAGGTCCTGTGAGAGGCATCGGGCAAATGGCAAACCCCAGTGTGGAGCAGTGTGGACACACAGGATCAGGAGCCAGGCAGAACCGGCTTCCCGTCCTGGCCCTGTGAGCCGGAAGCCTGAACTCGATTTCCTTATCCACAAGGAACACTTTGCTTCATTGTTCCTTAACTGGAGTGTGCTGCTGCTGGAGGGGAGGGGGTCAGTAAATGCTGTGGTCACACCTGCTTACCAGCAGAGCCCTGCGCTGGGCCTGGGTGCAAGGAGGGGTTGCCACTTGGGGGTTCATTCCTGACACAGGGTGGCCTCATGGCTTGGAGTCTACCAGAGTGCACATAGAGTCCCCAAGCAGGGGCTCCCCGGGGTTGGCTTGGGAAGGCTTTCTGGGGGATGGACTGGCCTCACTCTCCCTTCATGGCCTGCCCTGTATTCCAGTGCTTCATCAGAATCAGTGCGGCCTATGGCTCCACAAAGGACATCTCTGTCTACAGTGTGCTGGGCCTGCCAGCCTCCCAGATCTTCATCGTGGGCCGGCCCACCAAGAAGTACCAAACCCAGTGCCAGGTGGGTGGAGGCTGGGCTGGAGGTGGGGAGTTGGGAGGGAGGTCAGGGAAAGGGATGGAGGGTCATTCATTCATTCATTCATTTGTTCATTCCCCCATTGGCTCATTCATTTATTCAACAAACACTGCTGGCTGCCTGCGTTGGGCCAGGACCTGTGTTGGGTGCAGGGGAGAATCCCAAGTGGAGTCAGATGCAGCATTCTTCTGTGCAGTGGGGAGATGGACACATTTGCAGTTAGTGACAGTACAGTGTAGCAAGTGCCATGATGGATGACGGGGAGCACAGGGAATTGTGGGGCCCTGGAGAGGGGCCACTGACCCAGACTCCAGGGCATGGCTGGATTTTGGGAATTTGAAGGAATGGTCCAGGAAGGGCCTGAGATTGAGAAGAGTATTTGTGGCAGAGGCAGCAGCAAAAGCCAAGGTCAGGAGGTGACAGAGAACATGTATATTCTGGGAACTGCCAGTGACTCAGCTTGGCTGCGTGGGATGTGAGCCGGGAGGTGGGGGAGGGGGCTGGAACGGTCAGCGCAGCCGAGATGGCCTGTGTGGGGACTCTTGTCAGAGGGTGGGATGGACAGGGGCATGAGCAGGTGTGTGATTCAGGAAGCTCCCTCAGGCTGCAGGTGGAAAGAAAAGCCGAGAGGGAGTTGAAGGGAAAGTGGAGGGTCTGAGAGGCATTTTTTGGTGGGAGATGGATTGGATTTGGTAATGCCCAGATCAGATGTGCGGGATGAGAGAAAGGGAAGGTGGAGGCCAGCGCCTTGGTCTGTGGCTTGGGTGACCATGTAGGAGGTGACAGTATTGGAATCACACAGCAGGGGGAAGGGAAGGAGGGGACCTCCCTTTGAGGCATGTCAAGTGCGTGGTTCCTGAGAGTGAACTGTGGGTAGAGGGCCAGGAGATGGTAGCGTCTCAGAGTTGGGAGCTCAGAGGTCCCACTACTCACACTCTAAAGTGCCTGGGCATCACCTGCGGATCTTGTTGACATGCACATTTTGATTCCACGGGACTAGGGTGGGGCCTGAGGTTCTGCCTAGCAAGGGGCCAGGTGGTGTTGATGCTGCGGGTCCATGGACCACACATCGAGTAGTGAGATTCTTCTCTGAGCTAGCCGGAAAGACTAGCAAGGAGGGCAGTGATGGGGCTCCAAAAAATGACAAGATGCATGGAGAGGCCGCATGATGGGAGGGACTTTGCAGGATTCTAGCCAGCCAAGCGACAAGGATGGGCACTTCCCTACCATCAATAATCCAGAGTCCAAGCACCGTGGCTCATGCCTGTGATCCCAGTGCTTTGAGAGGCAGGATGATTGCTTGAGCCCAGGGGTTGAAGGCCAGCCCTGGCAACACAGCAAGACCCTGTTTCTACAAAAAATTAAAAAATGAGCTGGGTGTGGTGGCATGTACCGGTAGTCCCAGTCACTCAAGAGGCTGAGGCTGGAGGATTAGTTGAGCTGGCGAGGTTAAGACTGCACTGAGCTGAGATTGGGCCACTGCACTCCAACCTGGGCAGCAGCGCAAGACCCTGTCTCAAATAAATAAATAAATAAATAAATAGAAATAAAATAAAATAGAAAATCCAGAGGAACTGGTGTGACCCATGGGTACGGGTAGAGGTGCATGCTTTTCCAAAGTGGGATGGGGACCCTGGAACAGTAAAGAGCTCCTGGTTTCCCCAGGGGTTCCTCAGAGAAGCTGGAGGCACCTCAGTAGGGTGTTCCCAGGAAATGATGGGGACAGGATCAGGATCAGGGGCCTGCCCTGCCCCTCTGCCTGACTCCCATCCCCTCCCCTCCCTTCCTCTTCCTCCCCTCCCCTCCCCCCCCTTCTCTCCCCTCCTCCCCTCCCCTCCCTTTCCTCCCTTTCCTTCCCTCCCCTCCCTTATCTCCCCTTCTCTCCCACCCGTCTTCTCCCCTCCCCTCCCCTTCCTTTTCTTCCCACCCCTTTCCTCCCCTCCCCTCCCTTCCCTTCCTCCCTTCCCTTCTCTCCCCACCCCTTCCTGCCCCTTCCTTCTCCCTCCGCCCCTCCCCTCTCTTCTTCTCCCTTCCGTCTCCTCCCTTCTTCCTTTTCCCTTTCCCTCCCCTCCCCTCCCTTCCCCTCCCTTCTTCCCTCCCTGGCTCCTCCCCACCCTGCCCCTCCGCACCCCACCGTTTGCAGTTCCTGAGCGAGGGCTACGCAGCACACCTGGCCGCGCTGGAGAGCAGCCACCGCTCGCGCCCCAAGAAGAACAACTCACGCATGATCCTGCGCAAGGGCAGCTTCGGGCTCCACGCGCAGCCGGAGTTCCTGCGGAAGCGCAACCACCTGCGCAGAACCATGTCCGTGCAGCAGCCCGACCCGCCCGCCGCCAACCCCAAGCCGGAGCGGGCGCAGAGCCAGCCCGAGTCCGACAAGGACCACGAGCGGCCGCTGCCCGCGCTCAGCTGGGCGCGCGGGCCCCCCAAGTTCGAGTCGGTGCCCTGAGGGGCGGGTCGTGCTCCGAGCAGGGAGGGGGCGCCCAACCAGGCTGCCTGCGGGGACTGGAGGGGCGGCCCTCTCCCCGACACAGGCGTTTTCCTGCTTTTTCCCTCCCGTGTCTGTCCAGCAGTGTCCGAGCAGAGCGGGGAGGGACCCTGCCCGGCCTCGGGGGCTCCCTGGGCTGCGACGGGGTGAGATCCAGGGGTCTCAATGCAGCCACTGCTGCCTCCCATGTGCCTGTGACCGCACGCCCGCCCGAGTAGGGTTCTTGTTTGTGTCATCCTGGGGGCAGGCTTGCCCTGGGCTGGTGCGTTTGGGCAAAGTCGACCATCCTCAGTCCCCAGGCTTCACAGTGAGCTGGGCTGGCCCTCAAGGGGCAGCCCCAGCCCCGGGACCCAGCGCCGCTGGCAAGCACAGCTTCTCGGCTGGTTTGTGGAGGCGTGAGTGGCATGTGTGCCCGCCCTCCCTGTGGCCCTTGGTCTTGTTTGGGTTGGCGCTCTTATGGCAAGATGGCCACTTTCTGGGAGTGAGAGCGCATCCCCTGGCTCATCTTAATGCCGTCTCTGTCCACAGTCCTGGGGAGGTGGAGTCTGGTGCTGACGGTCTGTCCTGTGGCTGTCCATTGTCCCCAAACACCCACCCCCACTTGTCCTAAGTGTCCTCACCATTTCTCTGTGGCCCTGGGGGCCAGGGGTTCCTCTTCCTGGAGCCCTGCCTCATGCCCTCCCTCAGGAGGCTGCAGCCTTGGGCTCTGGCTCAGCTGGGCTGGCTGTGAGCCCCTGAGCTGGTTGCTTGCCCTCTCTGGGCCCCTTCTGTTATTGGAGGGATCCCCTAGCTGAGATTGGTGTGAGTCTTTGACTCCAGTGTGTCCTGGAGTTTGGCCCCTTGAGGCTTTTCAGGTCTAAGGGCCCCTCAGAGTGTCCTGTGACCCATGCCTTTCACAGAGCCTGGGAGACAGGGTCTGGGTGGGTTGGGAACGAGAAGGAGGGGCTCTTAAAAGAGCTGCTCTGGGCCGGCTGGGAAGGGATCCCTACTCCATGGAGAGGCGCAGTTGGTTTGCCTTGCACTGATGCCCAAACTGGGTGTCCCAGGGACAACCCACCTCCATCTCCGACCAAATGACCTGGCTCCCCCTACCCCCAGCTCTGCCAGGACCCATTTATCCTTTTTGGCTCCTGGGGGCATAGAGCAGAGATTCCGAGGTTCTAGGGGGTTCCTGGAAGTTTGGTTCCAACTGTTGCATTCTTTTCCCTTTCCCCTGCCGCTCAGTGTGTTCCAGTACTCTCCTCCTGGGTAGTCCCCTGAGGTCGGCAGGTCTTGGCCCTTCTGGGGCCCCTAAAGCCAGCCCAGGCCCTCCTGCTGCTGAGCCTTGGCCTGGGCATTGGTTTCCTGCATCCCCTGGCCCCCTGACTCCCTGGCCCAGGCCCACACCAGCTGTGTGGGGCTGCCCAGGTGGCCTCTGAGCCCCCATGGGCCACCTCTGAGGCTGGTCCCAGCAATTTCAGACGTCTGTATCCACAGCAGGCATCTGTGTCAGCTCAGTGTCGCTTCTGCTCAGTGTCTACCTCTCTTGGCTCCCATGCAGCCAATGACGCTGCTATTGGGGGCAGCTGGCACCACCGTTGTGAACTGGCTGGCAAACTGGGTGCCCTCCTGGGGCTGGAGGGGTCTGGGCTCCCAGCCCCCAACCCTGCTCTCTCCACTAGAAATGTGTCTTCAGTCTGCCAGCTCTTCTGCTCCACTTCTGGCGCCGCCTCCTTCACTCTAGCCCAGGGCTGTTGGTGAGTCTGTGGGGAGGAGTGCCGATCAGCCTCAGCCTCAGCCTCAGCCTCCTGTATGGTCCTGCCTCCAGGCTGTTCATAGGTGCCCATCCCCCCTTTAACATTTCACAGTTCTTGGTTTTCCAAAGGCACCAGCTCATATGGCATAGCTACCCCAACCCTAATCCTTCCCAAAAATATTCTGATTTAAACTTGGGCAGACTTAGTCTGATTCTTGAAAACTCTTACCATTTCCTTTTTGCAGAAGCCACTGATTACTCTAAAATGATAAATACTTAGTATGAGCTATTTTGTTCCCAGTTAGATTCCCTCTTCCCTGAGAACCCCAGGCTAGGTGAGAGGTTGGGGGGGGGGGGCAGAGAGAGAGAGAGAGAGAGAGAGAGAGAGAGAGAGAAAGGAAGACAGAAAGAGAGAGTGAGCACACATGGGCCAGGATCCCTGGGGAATTTGAAGTTAGTGTGACCCAGGTTCTGTGGCTCTGGGTGTCAGAACTGGGACAAGGACCCAGCAGAAGGGCCACCACCCCTTTTGGAAGCAGCTCTGGCTCCAAGCAGGTAGGAAGATTGTAGCTTTGACCGACAATGCACACATGAGATGCTGATGGTGTACAGTGAGATATTGTGAACACAGTTGGAGCTGTAGTTGGTGTGTGTGAATGTGTGTACATGCGGTTCTGTGTCGTGGTGAGACAGCGTATGTTTCAGTACGGCTTTCACAGCAACTGTGTCACGCATATATGCACTTTCTATCCTAGCGGTTTGTTCGGTTTTGTCCGTCTAGTGAAGTTGGAGAAAAAAAGAACCAAGTTGTGTTGTCCTCTGGAGGGGGTGCCGCTGCCTCTCCTTGAGTAGTTCTGTGACCCCCAATCCAGCTGTTTTCTAGAGAATCTTTCTAGCCTCTGGTATGCCTGCTTTCCGGCAGCTGGACCAGATCTTCCCGCCTTACCAAAGCTCCTTGTTTCTTGTGTGGCATGTTTGTTCTTCCTGATCTGGCGGCTGTCGTGGCTGAGGGCCTGCCTGCCACCTTCCTTTACCATTTGCCCTGTTAGGGTTCAGGGTGCATCCTTAGCCCAGGACCTGCTCTTCCAGCATCATGGGTTTTTTTCCTAAAGATCTCAACGGCTCCCGTGGGCTCTGTAAAATATTTTTTTAAAAAGCAGACTCCTTTCACACATTGGGATGAATGGCCCTCTTGTCTGGGTGCTGGGCTACAGCAAACGAATGTGTTTGAATTCTAGTATTCCAGAGATTCGTGGTGGTGGGTGCTCTGGAAGAGGCGAGGCTGGATCTCACGGTTTTTAAACTGTATTTTTACCCCTTTGGGACCCATAGCTTGCCCTGGAGTCGTTCATGAGGCACGAGAGTCCTCTGCATCCTCACTCTCCCACCCAGCCCAGGTGCAGCCCCGGGAGGGGGCCCTGACCCCGCCTTAAACAACCAACTTTCCCACCGAATCCCATCTGGGGGGGTTTGGGTGCGAAGTGCCCTGAAAACCTATTGTCTTTTGGCTCAGCCAAAAGAAACATCCCCTCCTTCCTTTCCTGCGGCTTAGGGGAACTTTCATAAAAACCACAGTTAGGGTTAAGTCCAAGCCCTGATGCCTGACCTGGGTCCTGCTCTCCTTGTTGAGAAACTAACAGGCACTTGGGAGGGAAATTTGAATTTGACTCCACCCTCTTTGCGACATAGGAGAAGCAGGTGACACCAAGGAGGGGCAGGCCAGAAGAGGGCGACTTGTGCACAGGGACCCCCACCCTAGGACCCCTCTGTCCTTTTCTCTTTGTTTACTTGGTGGTGGCAGCCAGCCTGACCTTGTCTGTGGTCTGACTGTTCCTAAGTGTGTAACTTTCAGTATTATCTGTGACAGATGGTTCCATGGTGAAAAAGGTTTATTATATTCTTTATGGCTGCCTTGTACAAAATCCGTTAGAAACGCTAATGTAAGATACCAGATTTCTAACAAAACAAAAACAGCATTATGGAGTTAAAAGATTTTTACAACTGGTCTTGATTTTGATGTGAGCTGGTTTTTAGCTCTCAAACGTTGTCACTTAAATAAAAACCTTATTTGCCTTTACGATGTGTTTTGCTCTGAATGAAGTTGAGAAACCTTTCCCCTTATACATGTTCTCCCTGGGGTGGGACTTGGGGGCAGGCTGGCTGGAAGCAGAGGTAGATGAGGGCCAGACCCCAAACCACAAATCTATAGCACAGAGTGGTGTGGGAGGGCGGGGGACATTGGAGGTTGGCAGTGAAAGGGAACAGATGTCAAAGGCAAACAGTCTTTATTATGAGAAAGCAGTGTTATCTAGGAAAGTCACACGCTGGTTTCTTTCTAATAAAATGACAAAGCAGATTTCTTAAATAATTTACAAAGGGCAGAAATTGCTCTTGAACAGGCTACCCCTCCCGGCATACCCACAGCACTCTGCATCAAGCATATAAATAGGTACCTGTGAGCCCAGGGTCTTCAGCCTGGAAATATCTCCTGTGCCTTCCTCTGAGTCCCTGGTAGGGAAAGCAGGGATGAGAGTGGGGCCCTCAAGAGCCTTGGCACCGGAAACACAGATGGTGAGTGACTGTGGATGACTCCCCCAAAACCAGACACCTGGGTACATGGCTAAGAGCTCTCAAACACTGGATGCTAGCACTTCACGTTACAGATGAGGCAAATACAAAGCTCAAAGTCAGGTGTATCATGAGTTTCTAAGCTCAAGAGTCCCCTGGGAAAGCAGAAGGTACAATTCTCCCCACCTCTGCAAGACACTCTCCCCAAGACACTCTCAGGCTATGGCTGGCAGTCACCGATGGGTCCAGATGTGGCCAGAGCAGGGGGGCTCCAGGCCCCTTGTTAGTGAGGTCCTCATTAGCAGGGGCTCAGGGGTACTGATGACTCCTGGGGACTTCCTCCAGGAAGCGCATGGGGAAGCACAGACGTCCTTGGGTGTGAAGCCTTGGTGGTCAGACAGGGCTTGTTTCCTGCAAGACAGAGCTGCCTTTGTGGCCCTCACTGTGCTCCAGGTAGGAGAAGTGGGGATGCCTTTCCCTGCTCACTGCAGGGTGGGAGGTGCTGGAAGGCGGCTGTATCTACTCGGGGCCCTCAGCATGCTCAGTTAGTGATGGGGGTCAGTGAGGTTAGCTCTGACCTCCAGTAGCAGGCAGATACTACTGACTGCTGTGCCCATTAGGTCTGTGGGCTTTTTCTTTAACTTGCTCATGCGTAAGGTGGAGGAGGACATTGAGAAAGATCTCAGGAGGTGGGCATTACCTGCAGGCACTTCCTCAGCCATGAATGAGAGAGACGATGTCACCACTAGAGAGAAGGGGAGGGATGGATGCCACTGGGTGTGGTGGGCTCTGAGAGGGCCCTCCCAGTCTAGGCTAGACAAGATCAGACCCAGCCTTAGAGCCCATCATGGCCATTAAACAAGTGGAATGGGGAAACAGCCCTAAGTTAGGAGACATCCAGAACCGAGGCCCTGCCCCGAGGATGGGGTCATGAGCGGACAGACCAGGAACTCCATAGCAGTCATGTTACTTTTCCCAATTCCACAGGCAAGGAGGGCACAGAGGAGCCATGGAGAGTTCAGGAGGAAGGGTAGGCTTTTCAGGAATGGAACCAGCCACATGTGCGGTTCCAAGTGATGGACAAACGTGGGGGCCCAAGGCCCAGCAGACCACATACATTCAGGGTGCATCCTTTACCATCACCCCAGTCCAGGTTTTTATCTCTTCTTGAGTTTGAGATAAGGGACACTGAGGCCCAGAGAGGGGCAGAGACTGGCCAGGGTCACACAGCAGGTCAGAGCAAAACCGGCACCTGCCTGCACAGATAGCTGGAGGGGCCCTTCCGGCCATTTCACTTTGAAGCAAGGGATGCCAACTCACCTCTCCTCTGCCATGATGGCTTCATCTAGCTCTTGGGACAGCTTCTGAAGGTGCTGAATTCCCGCCCCCACAGGCTCCAGGTCACTGTCAGACTCACTGAATGAAAGAAAAACCCACACCAGTGACTAGTTGGAAGCCCCTGGCAGGGCTTATACCAGGGTCTGGTCTGTGGGCCTGGATGACCCTGGTGGGCTGGGCTTTACTCCAGGAAGTGACCTCAGAGCGAAGAACAGAGAGATCAAGATCCATGAGGCCGAGGTCATGGGCAAGGGGTTTTGCAGTTTCCCCACTTGGAAACTCAGCCTCAGCCCTCCAGGTAGTGTCAAAACTTGCTTTTGGGCTCACAGGAGGCTTGGGTGCGTGTGATTGTGTCAGAGCTCAGCTCAGCTCTTCCTTTAGACAGGGGAACTAAGGTCCTGAAGGATTGATTGTCTCAGGTCCCTCACTAGCTCTGGGGACAGAACCGGGTCACAACACAGATGTGGAGAGTATTTTTCAAGTGTTCACGAGCCTTATTTTAGCCTCCAGGTTTGCTCCGGCACTGTGCAAAGCCATTCGGTCACTTAAACACGCATCCTGGTGACCACCTGCCACGATGCAGGGGCAGCGGGTAGGTAGCCTTCCCTGGGAGCCCCGAGATGAACAGGAAGCTAGCTGCCAGGGTCTGTGGACTGGGATGAGCTTCGCCCTCTACCCCACGCCGGGCCAGTTTCTGGGCCTGAGAACTAGAAGATTCTACAGGGCAGGACAGCTTGATGGGTGGGGCAGAACATCCAGGCGATCTGGACCCCAGCCTTTATTCCTTGACTTCCTACAAGATGTCTCCCATGCTAATTAATAAACCCCTCCGGACCTCCATTTCCTTACCTGTCAAACGGGAAAAACAGAGCCTGCCTTAATCACAGCTCAAGGTTCCTATGAGACTAAAGAAAGATGCGAGCCCTCAAAGAAATGTGGGAAAAATCCGACAGCCCAAAGCTACTTGACAGCCTTAACTAGCACACTACGTTTCCCCCTGTAGCTCAGCTGGAAAGTTGAAATAAAACCCTTAGGAATCCAGTTGTTGTTTTGTTTTCTCTTTTTTTTTTTGAGATGGAGTATCACTCTGTCGCCCAGGCTGGATTGCAATGGTGTGATCTCAGCTCGCCGCAACCTCTGCCTCCCAGATTCAAGTGATGCACTTGCCTCAGCCTCCCAAGTAGCTGGGATTACAGGAGTGCACCATCACGCCTGGCTTATTTTATGTTTTTTTTTTTTTTGAGACGGAGTTTCGCTCTTGTTACCCAGGCTGGAGTGCAATGGCGCGATCTCGGCTCACCACAACCTCCGCCTCCTGGGTTCAGGCAATTCTCCTGCCTCAGCCTCCCGAGTAGCTGGGATTACAGGCGCGCGTCACCACGTCCAGCTAATTTTTTGTATTTTTAGTAGAGACGGGGTTTCACCATGTTGACCAGGCTGGTCTCCAACTCCTGACTTCAGGTGATCCGCCCGCCTCGGCCTCCCAAAGTACTGGGATGACAGGTGTGAGCCACCGTGCCCAGTGGCTCACTTTCTAAAGAACAAATACTTGCGCTGGATCTCTGCTAAAGCAGGACACTCATTTAACAATAAGAATAATAATTACATTCTGTGACTCCACTCCCCGAGGGTGCCTCGGGGCCCAGTTAGTGTCTAGGAGGTCAGAGAGCAGGGATTGTGCCCAGGCTAAAAGGCCACCAGCCCTAGGGTGAGGAACTGTCCTACTTGCCTGGGAGAGCAGAGGGGCTCTGTAGAGGAGTAGGGGCTCCGGAAGGCTGCCTCCCGCCTTGACCGCCGTAATGGGTGGACACATGAGCCCATCCGGGCAGAGATGCAGTGATGCTCCTTCTCCCAGGGGTCTGTGGGTGAGTGGGCAGGGGCAGCTCCAGACAGCCGAGTGCTCTTCTGGCTCAGGCTGTGAGTTGGGGATCCACTGCCCTTCTGTGCCCCTCTCTTCCTCCTGGCCTTCACCTGGTTCTCCACCAGCCACTTGGTGCCACTTTGGCAGGACTCCTGGATTCTCTGGAACAGGCAAATGGAAAGGTTAGCACAGACAAAACCAAGGGTGAGGCTGGGCGCTGTGGCTCATGCCTTTAATCCCAGCACTTTGGGAGGCCAAGGCGGGCAGATCACCTGAGGTCAGGAGTTGGAAACCAGCCTGGCCAATATGGTAAAACACCATCTCTACTAAAAATATAAAAAAATTAGCTGGGCATGTTGGTGGGCACCTGTAATCCCAGAATCCCTTGAACCCAGGAGGCAGAGGTTGCAGTGTTGCAGTGAACTGAGATCACGGCACTGCACTCCAAAAAACAAGGGTGAGCTACCACCACCCCTAGACCCACCAAGTGTCCCGTAAATACAGGCTGCTGTTAGTCTCCAGGGTGAGGGATGTGAATGTCTCCTCGTGGAATGAGTCCCCCGCAGGGACTCAGCTCAGAGCTTCTGGATATGACAGCAGCAGTCAGCAGCAGGATGACCCCCTTCTAGTGCATGGAGCCTGTTTGTCTAACTCTGCTTCCAGACACAGATTGACCCAATGACTGTAGGGGAGGGCCCCAGAGAAGAGCAGGCCAGCCTGCCTACCACCCCCGGCATACCAGGAGAGCATTTGGTGGATCACGCAGATAGCAGATCAAGACCAGCCTGGCTAACACGGTGAAACCCCATCTCTACTAAAAATACAAAAAAATTAGCCAGGAGTGGTGGCACACGTCTGTAATCCCAGCAACTCGGGAGGCTGAGGCAGGAGGATCACTTGAACCCGGGAGGCGGAGGTTGCCGAGATCATGCCACTGCACTCCAGACTGGGCAACAGAGCGGGACTTCATCTCAAAAAATAAAAAAATAGTTTCCAAACAAGGACTAACATTTGGCTCAGAGAGCTCTCTGCAGAGGGTCTGGAAACAGCCACCCTCTCCCCTCGTCTTCAGAATTCCCAATGAGACACCGAGGAGAAATCTCTGCAGTCTCCAGTCCTCTCACTGAAGGTCTATTCATCCTAACAGCTTCTGTCCTTCTTAAGTGACCCCTCTACACCTCCAGCTCTGGGTTGAAAGATGCATCCCTTAAAGGGCCTGTAGACACTTACATCTAATATAAGGATGTTTTCCTGCCAGCACCTCTCATTTCACGGCATATCCCCTCTAATCAACCTTCTAGGCAGTTCCT